CCGTCGCTGGGAGGGGCGCGGATATCCCCTTCCTTGCCCTGCATCCCTCCGACCCGGGGCCCCCGCCCACCTGCGTGCGAGAGGGGGGTCTTCCTGGCCTGCTGAGAAGGGCGGCACCCCCTCTCCACCCCCTCCCCGCTCCTGTTCTCTCTAGGATAGTCTCTGCCCGCAGTGGTCTCCCCTAATTTTTACTCCTGGGTCGGGGGAACCACTCTCCTGGTGATTCCAAGGGGGCGCGGGGCTGATGGGCCCTGGGGAAGCCCACTCGGGTAGGGCGGATGTGTGGCTTGTTACTAGTGCAGCGTGAATTAAAACACGATTGGAGACATCGCCCTGCCACTGTCTTCTAACCTTTTCGTTTTCCCTACGCGGATGGACTACAAACCACCGGGAATTTTCACTTGCTGCTTTGATAAGAATTCCTCCTCCACCCCTTTCCTGGCCAGCCCCCTCCGCCGCTCTTTTCTTTCTTCTTTTTTTCTTTCTTTCTTTTTTTTTTTACTGTGAGCCAGTAAATTGCTATTGGACATCTCGATAGCTCAAGTAACGTTATGGGTCTTTCCTCCTGCTGGACGCTTTCCTGAAATTCCCTCCCAAAGCAAGGTATGTTGGAAGGAACAGGTTAGGGATATGTGCGAATGTATTTGTATTCGAGGAATGGGATGGTAACCCCGACATTTTGATGTATAGGAATGAATATTTTAGATTATCAGTGAAATATAGACTTTTCACCGAACTGAAAACAAAACTTTAGGTTGCATCAACCAGATCAATCGACAAATATTTATTGTACTAAGAATGAGTAAGACTTAGTCTATTGGGATCTTGCCGTATATCACAGGGAAAGTAGAGGAGAGGGAGTATACTTATTTGTAATAGAATTTTTAAATGAGTTTGTTACTCAGTTATATTCCTCTAACATGGGTGGAATTACGTGTCCAACCACCCACCCTCCCCCCAAAAGAAAACATGATCTCAATTTTGCAGTGTCATAGCATTTGGGCCAGTGTCGATGGGCAGAGTTGGACTCTTCATAAAAATAGTGTTTAAAAAAGTAAAAGACTAAAAATATTATTTTTCCAATGAAGATACACAACTCTTCTAATTTTTATGTCCTTTCTATTTATGAAATCAAAGTAACGTGCATTAAGCACTGCTTTGTTCCAAGTAAGATACTGCCGGGAAAGCAATAGTCTTTGATTCTTAGAATTACATAAAGTAAACAGTTACAACTAGCCTTGGATACATCATCAGTTCCTACTCTATTATGGACTGCACATATTTTGAAGGACCAAAAAGTTAAGAAATCTTTGATTACTGAATTATTTGCGGGGGCGGGGAGGGGGGGGCGGGTGCGCAGTGGTTACTGTTGTAAGTTTTGCTTTCTGGTTTCTTCACCTTTACCGGTTTGCCTTGTGAATTTCTGCAGCTCCGGCATTTGGGACCTCTGCTAAGCAGAAAGCTCTCTGGGATTCTCAGAGAGAGAGAGAGAGAAAAAAGACACTTTAATTTCTCTCCCCTCGTCCCCCCAGAAATAGCATCTTAAATTATTTTATATTTGCATCATGCCTAGAATTTAGCCCAGCAATGTTCTATTATTTCTTTTAACCTAAAAAAAAAA